GTCCTCCATTGTGCATGTGGCAGGGCTCAGGTTGCATTGCAGCAGGTGGTCAGTGGTTTGCTCTTCTCCGCACTTGCATGTCATGGATTCCACTTTGTAGCCCCATTTCTTAAGATTGGCTCTGCATCTCGTGGTGCCAGAGCGCAGTCTGTTCAGCGCCTTCCAAGTCGCCCAGTCTTCTGTGTGCCCAGGGGGGAGTCTCTCATCTGGTATCAACCACGGATTGAGGTGCTGGGTTTGAGCCTGCCACTTTTGAACTCTCGCTTGCTGAGGTGTTCCAGCGAGTGTCTCTGTAGATCTAAGAAAACTATTTCTTGATTTAAGTCGTTGACGTGCTGGCTGATACCCAAACAAGGGATGAGCTGGAGATGTCTCTGCTTTGGTCCTTTCACTATTGGCTGCAACTTCCCGGCGGATGTCAGGTGGTGCAATACCGGCTAAGCAGTGTAATTTCTCCAGTGGTGTAGGGCGCAGACACCCCGTGATAATGCGGCATGTCTCATTAAGAGCCACATCCACTGTTTTAGTGTGGTGAGATGTGTTCCACACTGGGCATGCGTGTTTAATAACAGTTATTCAGTCTAATAACTGAAGCCAATCGCCTTGCATATTACCTTTGGTTGCATTCCATTTGAGAGGATTCTACTCAAATGAGTTTTTGGCTCTTCTCTAAAACAGTGTTTCTCAACCTGGGACCCCTGCGGGGGTTGCGAGGGGGTTTCAGAAAGGTCATCAGAGACCATAAGAAAACATATATTTCTGATGGTCTTAGGAATTTTTGGCAGAGAAGGCTGAAGATCTCTCTGCCTGTCCTTCTCTTCCTTTTTGGAAACAGACAGTGAATTCACCCACCGAAAGCTGTGATTGGCCAGCCTCTCAGCCAAGGGGAGGGCTGTTCCTGAGACTCCAAGCGGGGAGGGGAGAGCAGGCGTGCTTGGCGCATGGCAGCATGGTGCACACGTGCGGGCAAAGGAGAGTGTGCAAGGCTGGAGGGAGGCTCGGGCCAGAGAGTTCCTTCAAGGCATGGGGCTTCTGTGTGGGAACTTTGGCCCAATTCCATCACTGGTGGAGTTCAGAATGCTCTTTGATTGTAGGTGTACTATAAATCCCAGTAACTACAACTCCCAAATGTCAAGGTCTATCTTCCCCAAACTCCACCAGTGTTCACATTTGACCATACTCAGTATTCATGTCAAAATTGGTCCAGATCTATCATTGTTTGAGTCCACAGTGTGCTCTGGCTATAGGTGAACTACAACTCCAAAACTCAAGGTCAATGCCCACCAAACCCTTCGAGTTTTTTCTGTCGGTCATGGGAATTCTGTGTGGGAAGTTTGGTCCAATTCCATCATTGGTAGAGTTCAGAATGCTGTTGATTGGAGGTGAACCATAAATCCCAGCTACTACAATTCCCAAATGTCAAAGTCTATTTTCCCCCAAATCCACCGGTTTTTTGGGGAAAAAATTTTGGGCATATTGAGTATTCATGCCAAGTTTGGTCCAGATCCATCATTGTTTGAGTCCACAGTGCTCTCTGGCTATAGGCGAACTACAATTCCAAAACTCAAGGTCAATGCCCACCAAACCCTGTTGGTCGTGGGAGTTCTGTGTCCCAAGTTTGGTTCCATTACATTATTAGTGGAGTTCAGAATGCTCTTTCATTGTAAGTGAACCCCAGCAACTACAGCTCCCAAATGACAAAATCAATCCCCTCCCCAACCCCACCAGTATTCAAATTTGGGCGTATAGGGTATTTGTGCCCAATCTGGTCCACTGAATGAAAATACATCCTGCATATCAGATATTACATTACGATTCATAATAGTTGCAAAATTACAGTTATGAAGTGCCATTAAAAATAATGTTATGGTTGGGGGTCACCACAACATGAGGAACTTCATTAAGGGGTCGCACCATTGGGAAAGCTGACAACCACTGCTCTAAAAGGTCATACTTTTCTAAAAGCTGCTCATGTTCCCTCCATTTTATCTGTTTTATATTTCTTTGTTTTGCAATGCTTTGGACCCGCTATAAACAAACCTATATTTACGTCATTGCTGTGATTCATTTACCATCTCGTTGCCAACTTCTTCTCACAGCCTTGACAGGAATGGTGGGAGTTGGTCCAAAGCACCTGGAGGAGGGCCGAAATTTGCCCATGCCTGAGGTATGCTGTTTGTTATGTTGTTAGGCGATCCCTCGTTGGACGAATAGGATAGTCTTCCTTGATCAGTATTCTCGTGGATCCGTAGGTGGCTGTGGAGCCCTATTCTTGACCTGCATCTTCTCCCAGTGAGGGCATTGGCTTCCAGGTGGAAGGCGGTCCTGGTTGGGGTTGGCTTGATGCGCCTTGGCACGTTTCTCTCTTTCGCCCTCCATTCGTGCCTCTTCAAATTCTACAGCACTGCTGGTCACAGCTGACCTCCAGCTGGAGTGCTCAAGGGCCAGGGCTTCCCAGTTCTCAGTGTCTATGCCAGAGTTTTTAAGGTTGGCTTTGAGCCCATCTTTAAATCTCTTTTCCTGTCCACCAACATTGCGTTTCTGTTCTTGAGTTCGGAGTAGAGCAACTGCTTTGGGAGACGGTGGTTATGCATCCAGACAACGTGGCCGGTCCAGTGGAGTTGATGGTGGAGGACCATTGCTTCAATGCTGACGCTGACGTTTGTCGCCAAAGAGATTTGCAGGATTTTCCGGAAGCAGCGCTGATGGAATCGTTCCAGGAGACGTCTGTAGACAGTCCACGTTTTGCAGGAATACAGCAGGGTTGGAAGGACAATAGCTTTATTGACAAGGACCTTGGTATCCCTACGGATGTCCCGGTCCTCAAACACTCTCTGCTTCGAGTTGTTGTAGGTTTTTTTGGGCTTTCTCTCCTGACATTTGGCCTGCATCTATGGCAAGCATCCTCAGAGGTAGTGAGGTCTGTTGGAACTAGGGAAAGGGTTTATATATCTGTGAAATGACCAGGGTGGGACAAAGGACTCTTGTCTGCTGGAGCTAGGTGTGAATGTTTCAACTGACCACCTTGATTAGCATTTGATGGCCTGGCAGTGCCTGGAGCAATCTTTTGTTGAGAGGTGATTAGATGTCCCTGCCTGCTTCCTCTCTGTTGTTGTGCTGTTGCAATTTTAGAGGTTTTTTAATACTGGTAGCCAGATTTTGTTCATTTTCATGGTTTCCTCCTTTCTGTTGAAATTGTCCACATGCTTGTGATTTCAATGGCTTCTCTGTGTAGCCTGACATGGTGGTTGTGAGAGTGGTCCAGCATTTCTGTGTTCTCAAATACTATGCTGTGTCCAGGTTGGTTCATCAGGTGCTCTGCTATGGCTGACTTCTCTGGTTGAAGTAGTCTGCAGTGCCTTTCATGTGCCTTGATTCGTGTTTGGGCAATGCTGCGTTTGGTGGTCCCTATGTAGACTTGTCCACAGCTGCATGGTACACGGTAGACTCCTGCAGAAGGAAGAGGTCCCCTGACATTAAGTCCAGTCATGTCTGACTCTGGGGGTGGTGCTCATCTCCATTTCTAAGCCGAAGAGCCAGCGTTGTCCGTAGACACCTCCAAGGTCATGTGGCCGGCGTGACTGCATGGAGCGCCGTTACCTTCCCGCCGGAGCGGTACCTATTGATCTACTCACATTTGCATGTTTTCGAACTGCTAGGTTGGCAGAAGCTAGGGCTGACAGCGGAAGCTCACGCCGCACCGGAATCGAACCTGCAACCTTTCGATCAACAAGCTCAGCAGCTCACTGCTTTAACCCACTGCGCCACCGGGGGCTCCAAAAAATCTGGCTACCTGTATTAAAAAACTCTAAAATTGCAACAGCACAACAACAGAGAGGAAACAAACAAGGACATCTAATCACCTCTCAACAAAAGATTGCTGAGGCACTTCCAGGTCATCAAATGCTAATCAAGGTAGTCAGTTGAAACATTCACACCTAGCTCCAGCAGACAAAAGTTTTTTGTCTCTCCCTGGTCATTCCACAGATATATTTTCCTAGTTCCAATAGACCTCACTACCTCTGAGCAGGGCCGTAGCCAGAAAAAAAATTCGGGAGGGGTTGAAAATTTTGCGGGGGAGTGTTGAAAATTTGCGGGGGGGGGGGATATTTGTGTGTGTGGTGGGGGGGGTCTGAAACCTGCCTCCTAGCTCACGCTGAAGCAAAGAGCACAGCAGGGGGCAGAGCAGCCTTCCATAGCCTGCAGCTCCGCCCCTGTCAACCACCTCCACCAAGTCTGGCCTCCTTAATGAGAGCATTCAACCCCCCCCCCCAACTTGGTTGCTTCACTACATCGGCTATTGCTGCAAGTAATGACAGTGTGAATAAATTGTCAATATTTGCTTGAGATAGTGCTTGCAGTTCTGGAGGGACTCTTAATTTTTTGCATCTCATAGACTTAGCATGGGGATTTGGTTAACCAGTTAAAATTCATGAGTAAACCAGGTTTTTTAAAAAATCTGAAACATTTCGGGGGGGGGGGGGGTTGAACCCCTGAAACCATCCCCTCGCTACAGGCTTGCCTCTGAGGATGCTTGCCATAGATGCAGGCGAAACGTCAGGAGAGAATGATGGCCATACAGCCCGAAAAAACCTACAACAACCCAATGATTCCGGCCATGAAAGCCTTCAACAATACTCTCTGCTTCATTCGGGAAAATGCTGCACTCGCAGAGCTCAGGCGGTGTTGTATTGAGGTATAGACCTAGGGCGGTGTAGACCTTTCCCCTGGCGGAAAAGGGGCGGGGAAAGTTGGAAAGAGCCCCGCTGCGGATAGGCATATTTCCTCAGAAGCCACTCCGCCATGCCCCTTGGGGGACCCAGGCCCTCTTTTCCCGACGTCTGAGGGACTTCCCGAGCGAGTCTGAATCCCGAGCCAAACTTGGCCTCGGCTCCGGCGCGAGCTGCGACTGCGTGCGCGAGCGGCAGAGGGAGAGAGGGAGGGGCCGTGGGCGGGGCTAGCGCGCCCCGGAGGGGGAGGGGGCATCGCCTGAGGAGAGAGAGAGAGAGAGAGGGGTGGGCGAGTCAGCTGGCGCGAGGCTTCCCAGGCGGAACCTTCCTTGAGGAGGGGCGCCAGACCAGACGGTTCCCTCCGTCTCCTTCCCCTTCGTTTCCCCAGGAAAGAGTTCCCGGAGAGGGCAGGCGCCCTTCCTTCCCCTCGCGCTGCCAAGTCCAGGCTGCGAGAAACTTAATCAGCTCAGGAGAGGGAGGCGGAAAGGGAGGCCACGAGGAGGAGGAGGAGCGGGAGCCGAGCGCGCCACTCACTCCCTCGCTCACTCCGACTGACTGACTGACTTTGCAGGTAAGGCACCCGTCGTGGAGGGGCTTGACAGGAAGCAGAAGGGGCGCGCGCGCGCAGGGCGTCGTGGCCCTTTCCCTCCTCGCGCGCAGTTTGCACGGGACGAACTTTGGGAGTTGTTTCTGCAGCTCGCGAGAGGACGCCAGGCGCGTGCCTTCTCGGGAGCAAAGAGAGAGAGAGTGTGTGTGTGTGCGCGCGCTCGGGGAAAGGGTGGTTCTCAACTTGCCCCCCTTCCCTTCCTTTTCCTTGCGCTTCGTGAGGGGCGTGCAAACTTCCCTTCCCGGCCGGAGCTTGGGTGCCCTCTCCACATTGCATCATAAACCAGGGTGGAGCCAGCCTTCCTCCTCCTCCTCCTCCTCCCTCTCTCTCTTTTCCTCCCCCTCCCCTCCCCCCTCCGCCCGCCCCTCGCCCCTGGCCTTAAGCAACGAGCTCTGAGGGGCTTGCCCGGCTCTGCCAATCAGGGGCGGCGGTGGCGGGCGCGCGCTCCCTTTCTCCTAGAAGAGAGGGAATGCGGCGCGCGCGCGTGTACTGAGGGGAGGGAGGGAGGGGTAGAGGAATCGAATGTGGGCACTTCCCCGGATTTAAGGAGGAAGGACGGAGCCAGGACTTCTGCGCCCACCCGGTAATGCAATGCACGCCTCGTATAGCTGTTCTTTCAACTTTGTAAAGGCGATGCCAAGGTGGGTCTGCTTGGTCTCGCGCCCATTGTGCTGGTGGCGTCTTCCCCCAAAAGAGTGAGGAATGCTTTGCAAAACTTTCCAGCGTGCGGGGCTGGAAGAGCCAGGGCAAACTCTGAGGCAAGGCCTGGGCTGCTTTGATCACCCCCGAGGAGGATTGGCCACCTTCCCTCCAAGCGTGCAGGGAAAAAAGGAACCACTGGTTGCTTTGAGGGAGGAATCTTCTTCTTTCTGGTCCTGTGACAGCTGTTGATTCTTTCTGCCTTCGCTTTGGTGTCTATGTCTCCTTCCAGCCCCTGTTTCTGAATTCTTCCACTTGTTGCATGCTGATTTCTACTTGTTGCATCCTTTGGCCCCATTACATTGTCCTTCCAGTTAAAGAGAGAGCAGCCCAGTCTTTTCTTTTCACTCTTTCTGTGTATTTTGCATACACTGCCTGAAGTGAAGATGCCCAGTGCAGGTTAACAGTTGCGCCCGTACCTTGGGAAGTCTGATCTGGCCACAGTGGTCCACGCTCTTGTTTCATCCCGGATAGACTACTGCAACGCACTCTACGTGGGGTTGCCCTTGAAGACGGTTCGGAAACTTCAACTGGTCCAGCGAGCGGCAGCCAGGCTGCTCACTGGGGCGACATACAGAGAGCACACCACCCCTCTGCTGTGTCAGCTCCACTGGCTGCCGGTTCAGTTCCGAGCCCAATTCAAGGTGCTGGTCTTGACCTACAAAACCCTGTACAGTTCCGGTCCAGCGTATCTGTCCGAACATATCTCCCTGGCTGTGTGGCCTACAAAAACCTGTACGGTTCCGGTCCAGTGTATCTGTCCGAACGTATCTCCCTCTACGTCCCACCCCGGAATTTGAGATCATCTGGGGAGGCCCTGCTCTCGACCCCACCGCTATCACAAGTGAGGCTGGTGGGGACGAGGAGCAGGGCCTTCTCAGTGGTGGCCCCTCACCTGTGGAACTCACTCCCGGGGGAAATTAGGGCATCAACATCCCTCCTCTCCTTCAGGAGGAAGGTAAAGACGTGGTTGTGGGACCAGGCCTTTGGGCAATCTGACAACTAGGTATGGACAACCAGATGGATAGACTGACAGGACTGACAATTGTGGAATTGGAAATTGAACTATGAGATAGCGGATGCTGACCCTCAATAAGGAGAAATTGGTTTGTATGGGTTTGTATTGGTTTTATTGGTCTTATTGGTTTTATTGCTTTATGGTATAATGTAGAATTGTGGTTTGATTGCTAATTTATGCTATTTTGTTTTATTACTGTTATGTGTTGCGAGCATCGAATTGTGCCTTGTTTCTGTAAGCCGCCCTGAGTCCCCTTCGGGGTGAGAAGGGCGGGGTAGAAGTAACCCAAATAATAATAATAATAACATTTATTCCTGACTGAGAGCCGTTCATAAGTGGAACTCTCTGCCCCAGACAGGCCCATAGCCAGAGGCGGCCCTAGGTAATTTTCAAAGGTAAGCAAACAGTATTTTGGCGCCCCCCCCCCAACCAATCATTGATATATATTTTCTGTTCGTCGTGGGAATTCTGTGTGCCATATTTGGTTCAATTCCATCATTGGTGGAGTTCAGAATGCTCTTTGATTGTAGGTGAACTATACATCCCAGTAACTACACTTGCCACACTTGCTCCCTTGCCTGGCCCGCTTTGGTTCCGGAGGCGTGCCTGAAGACCCTGGCGTGTGTACCAAAAGTAACCTCTTCTCCTGACAGGCATGTAGCCGGGGGGGGGGGGGCTTGGGGGGTCCCCCCCCCCCAAATTCTGATGGTGGTTGCGAAAAGGCCTTACTGGTGCATTAAACTGTTATGTTTATTCATATCATGATCTGATCACCATACTCAATATATCCCATATGCATGGGGGTATTGGGGTAACGATACAAAAGGGTTGCTAGGGTAGACCCTCTTTCACTCAGGACTCAGCCCCCCCGAAACAAACTCAGCCCCCCCCCCCCCGAATCAAAATCGAATCAAAAGACAGAGACAGGCCCGTAGCCAGGGATTATGTTTCGGGGGGAGCTGAGTTTGATTCGGGGGGGGGGGGGGCTGAGTCTGAGTGAAAGAGGGTCTTTACAAAAGGTTTGCTAGGGTAGACCCTCTTTCACTCAGACTCAGCCCCCCCCCCCCCCAATCAACTTGGTTGCTTCAAGATGGCCAGACTCAGGCCCATAGCCAGGATTTTGATTGGGGGGGGGGGCTGAGTCTGAGTGAAAGAGGGTCTACCCTAGCAAACCTTTTGTATCGTTACCCCAATACCCCATGCATATGGGATATATTGAGCATGGTGATCAGATCATGATATGAATAAACATAACAGTTTAAATAATGTACCAGTAAGGCCTTTTCGCGAACCACCATGAGAATTTCGGGGGGGGGGGGCTGAAGCTCCCCAAGCCCCCCCCCCCCCCCCCCCCACTACATGCCTGGCATTTGAGTCGCCCTCCTCTGGACACATTCCACATCAACATCTCATAGAATCAAAGAGTTGGAAGAGACCTCATGGGCCATCCAGTCCAACGCAGGAATATTGCATTCAAATCCCCTGACAGATGGCCATCCAGCCTCTGTTTAAAAGCTTCCAAAGAAGAAGCCTCCACCACACTCCGGGGCAGAGAGTTCCACTGCTGAACCGCTCTCACAGTCAGGAAGTTCTTCCTCATGTTCAGATGGAATCTCCTTTCTTGTAGTTTGAAGCCATTGTTCTGTGTCCTAGTCTCCAGGGAAGCAGAAAACAAGCTTGCTCCCTCCTCCCTGTGGCTTCCTCTCACATATTTATACATGGCTATCATGGCTACTCTCAGCCTTCTCTTCTTCAGGCTAAACATGCCCAGCTCCTTAAGCCGCTCCTCATAGGGCTTGTTCTCCAGACCCTTGATCATTTTAGTCGTCCACCTCTGAACACTTTCCAGCTTGTCAATATCTCTCTTCAATTGTGGTGCCCAGAATTGGACACAATATTCCAGGTGTGGTCTAACCAAGGCAGAACAGAGGGGTAGCATTACTTCCCTAGATTTAGACACTATGCTCCTATTGATGAAGGCCAAAATCCCATTGGCTTTTTTTGCCGCCACATCACATTGTTGGCTCATGTTTAACTTGTTGTCCACGAGGACTCCAAGATCTTTTTCACACGTACTGCTCTCAAGCCAGGCGTCCCCATTCTGTATCTTTGCATTTCGTTTTTCCTGCCAAAGTGGAGTATCTTGCATTTGTCACTGTTGAACTTCATTTTGTTAGTTTTGGCCCATCTCTCTAATCTGTCAAGATTGTTTTGAATCCTGCTCCTGTCTTCTGGAGTATTGGCTATCCCTCCCAATTTGGTGTCGTCTGCAAACTTGATGATCATGCCTTCTAACCCTTCATCTAAGTCATTTATAAAGATGTTGAACAGGACCGGGCCCAGGACGTCACTTCTTTCCAGGATGAAGAGGAAGCATTGGTGAGCACTCTCTGGGTTTGTCCATTTAACCAATTACAGATCCACCTCACCGTAGTTTTGCCTAGCCCACATTGGACTAGTTTGTTTGCCAGAAGGTCATGGGGTGCTTTGAATGCAATTTTCCTGCTTCTTAGCAGGGGTTGGACTGGATGGCCCATGAGGTCTCTTCCAACTCTGATTCTATGATTCTCTTGTGTATATTATCCTAATTGTCTTCAGTAGGAAAACTCATATGCTTAATTCTTTTCTCTCCATCTACTTAGCTATAGTTCAGTTGCCTCTATGTTTGACATCATGATGTATTACAGGCCCATTGGGATCGTGCCCTATTACATCTCGTAGTATCACAAGAAGGTTGCTGCAACAGTTAGGTGCACTGTCATGTAAACGGAGGGTAATACCTTCTTTGATGGGTTCGGGTGAAGAATGCAAGTAGGCATGTTCAGCTTGGTGCAGTCTTTAAATACCTCAAGGTATGTCACAGGGAGGAAGAGGGTATGGCCAGAGGGCAGAACCAGGCCTAATATTTGGTTGCTGTTGTTTATTCGTTCAGTCGCTTCCAACTCTTCGTGACCTCATGGACCATCCCACGCCAGCCCTCCCTGTCGGCCGTCACCACCTCCAGCTCCTTCAAGGTCAAGCCAGTCACTTCAAGGATACCATCCATCCATCTTGCCCTTGGTCGGCCCTTCTTCTTTTTTCCTTCCATTTTCCCCAGCATAATTCTCTTCAAGTTTTCCTGTCTTCTCATGATGTGGCCAAAGTACTTCATCTTTGCCTCTACTATTCTTCCCTCCAGTGAGCAGTCAGGCTTTATTTCCTGAAGTATGAACAGGTTGGATCTTCTCGTGGTCCAAGGCACTCTCAA